TAGTGCTGCCTCAATGCGATCTTGCAAGTCTTCGGACAAGGGGGGGGGGGACTTTCTGAGGACCCAAGCGTCTTGTAAGACTAATCTTGCCCCTGCTTCGGCATTCGCCCTAGTCCCACGGAAAACCTCAGTCGAAAACCGGGGAGAGGCAGTCTTCAAAAAAAAAAAAAAATATCCTTCTTCCTGTAGAAACTGACGGCAGTTACAAAGGGAAAGGGAACACTTCAGGCATCAGGGAATACTTGGAGATCATCCTTTCTGAAACGGACGAAATATTCTACGCAAAAAACAGAAAAATGTTTTTCTTTAACAAATAAATTAATTTTAAATGGGACTCTGAGCTTCAAAGTCTCTTTAACTATCCCTTAATTGCGTTTTCCTGCTTGCTAGGACAATCAGAACGGAAATGCCCAGTTTTTCCGCATGTCCAACATTCCCTATTAAAATTTTCTCTTCTCTCTTCGAAACCTTCCCCTTGAATAATTTTTAAAGTTTCCGCCCTCTCTATTGCCGAATTTAAAGAAGCAACATTTTCGAGTTGAAGGGTTTTTCTAACAAAGTTATCAGAAACAGCAGAAATAAATTGTGCGCAGGCAATTCTTTCGCGAACCTCAAGCGGACATTCAGGATAAGCGAGGCGCACGAGTCTTTTAAACTCAGAGCCAAGGGTAGCCAAATCTTCCCCAGCTTTCTGTTTACGGTTCGTAAATTGCGTATAAAAATTCTGAGACAGATGTCCCTCCCCGAAACGCAATTCGAGTTTAGATTTCAACTCCGAAAATTCCAAACTCGACACATCTTGTACCGCTTCTAACACAGAACGCGCTTTGCCCCTCAAACACGCAGCAAGCGCAACGGTCTTAGTCGCGTCGTCCCATTTATTCGCCTGAGCGATAAAATTAAACTGCGAGAAAAATTCCCGCAGCGGCACCGTTCCATCAAACACGTCCGGTTTTAATTTAAAACCTAATTCCGCGCATATGTCGATTTCCGCCGCGTTTTCGCCCCGCGAATTCCCGACTCTAGAAATCGAAGGACTTAGCTGGTTATTTCCTTGCAGCCGTGTGAGCTCATCTTCAAACTGTTGAAGTCTCGCTGTAAGCTCTGTTTCCCTCCGAGCTTGCTCCTCGCGCATTCTCCGCATCTCCTCCAGTATCGCTCCAAGAGATGTTGTTTCCGTCGCGGGCCTCATATCGTCAGTAGGTGGTGTTTCTGTCCTCGCTCGGGTCCTTCTCGGTGAATGTACCGTACTCATCTTCGTATTCCGATATCGAGATGACTATCCCGGACGAGCCCCCAAAATGTTGCGTTCGTCGCTCTCTCACTTTCTCACACTCGCACACACGCAATAAAAGGACACTTCCGTAAAAAGGAGAACAACTTTATACACAGAAATATTATATACAACAAGAATACAGCATTCATTAATATTCGTAATCGAATATGACACGCGTCTTTCCAGACCGAAAGCCCCCGGAAACAACAACCCAACTTTGTTTAACAAAACCCCCTCGTTGTTAGGGAGAACGCCTTGCAGCCAATGTCTTGCTAAGCATCCAGCACAAACATAATACCGAGCGCCCAGCGCGAATGTAACAATATATACACACATCGAACACAATATACAATTATTTATCTATGCTTATGTCATGCACACCTTTTGCGAACGCGCGAGAAACGTACAGATAAGGTTTCATCTTACGTAAGACACGCGCCACGCGATCCTGTTATTACTACATCACAATTTTCTATTAAAGAGTGTCGTATACGATTACGCTCGACCGCAATTTTTCTCGCGCGTGGCTCCGAGATCTGCCCACACACAGCCTCATCATCCACCCCCTCTTGGACGTGCTCACTTATTATAGTTCCGCGTACGATCTATCTTTTATCAAGCCCGAATCGATTTACCCACAGCTGGATATCGATCGTCCGCCTCGTGATTTATAATCGGCGCAAAGTTCGACGATCTTGCGCCCGTACCGCGAATGTGGGCCCTGTCGCCGGTGTTTGCGGTAGTGGATATTTCATGTCGTGCGAGGCGCGTTTACACGGATCGAGGAAGTCCGATAAGCTCACGGACGGATATCGCCGGCGTCTCTCGAGCGTGAGCGCTATGCGAGAAAATACATGCGTGTATACTTTTACTTACCGGGTGCCGTGGAAGTTACGCACTTTCGCTTCACTGCAGATTCTTCCCTCGCATCCGTCATCGATTCCTTTATCGAGAATGTCAGATGAATCTCTCTCTCTTTTTCTGTAAAAAAAAAAAAATTCGCTCGGTTATCGTCTTTTCTGTTACTGTCACACACCAACAATTATCAATTATTTAAGCATTATTACAACTAAATTTCTCATATAAAAACATCCATTTAACATTAATCAAGAAATAAAGTTTTTAATATCTATTTGTACCTCCTAAATTTAATTTCTGAAATTGTTGAATTTTTAATCACTCAACTGGACAAAAAAAAATATATGTATCGATGTCATAAATCGCAACAAACACTATTTTTCTCAGCTCCTATTATTTTCGTTTGGAAAAAAATGCGCAATTTCTCGGACACGTTATACAATGAACATTTATGCCATTGCAGCCGTCACTTCCTGGCGCGTGCTGCCGCAACCAGGTCGCCGGCCTGCTCCGGAACCCGGACACCGGCGACGAGGTGTGGGATGAATGGCTGCGTTACGCTCCGTAACCTCTGTTAGGGAGGCGTTAGCATATCTCTGCCCAGGAACGTACTAACAAAAGTCCGGCAGTTTTATGATCGTTTTAGAGAAAAAGCCGAGCGTTATCCAACTGCTTATACGACAAAAAATTATTTGGAGACATAAGTTTCCCCGGTATTAATTTTCTTTTATGTAGCTATTTTTTTAAATATCCTATATGTTCATCCGACAAATACGAGAGGAATGTTAGTTACATAATAGCATGGGAAAAGAAAGAAACGGAAAACTTTATTTTTCTCCCCCAAAAAATGTATTGTATATTAAATATATATTTTTTAAATTCTGATTGCAGATAATTTCTCCATTTTATATAAAAATCCTCAGATTATCAATGATATTAATTATGTTAAAAAAGCAAATAATATCTTTGGCTCTTCACAGATGAAAAAAATCTGTGAAACACATCTAATGATAGGTTTTAACCTACCATTTACATTTACAGCCAACATACACTCATAAAACTAAACCCGCTTTTAATGCTGGGCCATTATCGAAATTTCCAAACGAGTCTGAATCGTACAAGCGCGCCGACGATGCCTCAGGCCTGCAAGCGTCTAAGTACCTCACTATCCCAACATGTGGTCAGAAACCACAAACTCGCACGAATAAACGCCCAGAGCGAGATACTTTTTCTAGCGTTCGTGGAATCGTGCTACGACAGAGAAGGAGAAATACGAGAGAAGGAACCAAGATCATGCGACCGTTGAATATGAGTCAGCCGTCGAGGCCTCGGCTCATAATTACGCTCCAATTGTTGCCTCTCGGGCCTGTTGCAAGGAGGACTTCTCGCACCATCGCCGGGACGAGTTTTAATGCGTCTCACCGCCCCCGCGGCCTGTCGCTCTCGTTTCGCGCACGTTCGCGCTCTCTCGTGAAATATGAGCTTTTTTCCGTTCCCCAGCGACTTGCAAAAATTCTCATCCCAACGACCGTTCTCAAAAATGGACAAACTCGAAAAAATTACTTCCTGAAGGGCAAGCAGAGCCTCTCGAGACCAGAAGTGTAGCTTCTGGTAACAAGAAGAATTTAAATTAGAAAATAAAACTTCAAATCACATATATTTCTCGTAAACATCGTACAATCGACGAGTCGATCCATCCTTCAACTGTCCGGGATGATTGATCAAGTGAATCTAGTCCGCCGCTTCTTCTTACTGCGGATAAGACTTAACCCGTACTCCACCTAGGGGCAAATCGATAGGCCCTTTATCTAGTTGATGGATCGCTGATGGAATCTCGCTATCGTCGAAAACCGCTCATTGTCTGCGCGAGATCCTTTACCGCGATACATTTATGGAACATTGATTGATCGCGATAATACGAACCACTTGTTATGAGCATCGATATTAGTGTTCTCAGGCTTCCGGTATTATCGTCACTCCTTCGACAAGTTTGTTATTACTTTTATCATTTATGTTACGAGTTTCAGTTAATACGAAAGGGCGCCAAGATAAAATTAATTAAATTAATATAGTATCATTGTATATATGCGTTGCTATAATTATAAAATATTTGTAAGATAACATAATTTTGTGCGTGATTAGTATAGTTTCTACTTCTCTGATAACAAACATGTTATCATGCAACAAGTTGCTTTAATCTCCAGTGTGCAGCTTGTATTGCAATTTCTTCTATGAATTAACTTAAATAGTTTCTTATCTAATACAGGATATTAGTCCAGGCGAGTATAACTTCCTAGGAACGACAACGTTGCTAGTAAAATCGCAACGTAATTTTCAGCGAGAATACATTTAGCATTCCGTATATGCAATTAAGTGTTTAACATGCTGCGGAACGTGAATTCGCGGGGAACTAATTACGAATGATGCTGTAAATGACATTAACGCAATAAACGATATTGCAAAAAAAATGGCAGTGCGCGGAACCAGACATACCAGACGCTGCATTAACGCATACTTCGATGCCGTCCGTCCGTGTTCAACATCAGTGACCACTTAACGATACATTATCGGGTACTTCGAACACTCTCTCTTTCTCTCTCTTCTTACCTCGCCGAATCGCTTGAGCGTAAAATTGCGGGCGTTCAAAGTATTGTACAATCGCGCCGCGGTCATCATGTAACTTTTTTCTCACCGTCGTCATCGAAAAATCCCGCACTTGTCGGAAGAAGGAGGGCCAAGCGCCAAACGCGAGAAAAAAAGAAAGCGGTGACGCAAAGAGAAAGAGAGGCGCACGGCGATTTCATTCCCACGAAAACTGCTCGAACCCATTATCCCCGGCCATTGTTCCGCCCTGATTCCCCCGCCGCGCGGGGTATTATATATCCGCGCGACGATAAATCCCGTGTGGCACGCCGTGCACATTCCGCCGGTGCTATATCCGGCCACCCTTGTGAAGGATTTCTACGCGGCCCGCGCTGTACTCGGCGCGGTAAATAAAATCGGTAAGCGCCGCGACGATTTACGAAGGCGGGCGAGCAGGCAGGCAGTAACGGTTTCCGCTCCATCAGCCGTAAGCGCGGATGCTCGATGTACCTCGATACACGATAACCGGTACTTCCTTCCTCGTTCTGCCACGGCTCGACAGCTTTCCTCGACGACGTCCCCGACGAAATTCTATCGTTCGACGAGACTTTATCGTCCTGTATCCGAATATCTCGCTGCGTTTACGAGCACCACCGGTCCTCATTGTTCCTCGAGCGAGGCCTGAGCGATCGAGACGTCAACCTATTAAGGCGGAGCCGCGTATTTTGTGCCGAGAAAGGCGGACGCGAGGATAACGATCGGATAATGGAGAACTACGACTGACGCGAACGTTTTGCCGGCAATGCACATCTCGGTCTCTCTGATTTACGGCGACAAACATTCTGATTGGAAAAACATATACGACAAGCGAGTACGATTCAGGGTGATTTAGTTACCTTTGTCGAGTATCCTACATGGTTCGATGAAAAATCAACACTTGGATTCGGATAAAGTGCTATTGCACGGATAACAGAAAAAAATTTTTCTCTCTTTTGTACTCGTAAACAAACTCGTAAAATAAGACTCGTGAACACATTTTAGATACTTCGCCTTTACTACTGCTAAAGACTATAAATGTCCGTCAAGACTATAATCTAACCGGAAAATTATAGCAATGTCATGCTCCTCGACAGTGTGCACAGAAAAGATTAACGCTCGTTATATCGCGCCGCAATAAAGAACGAGAAACCTGTGAAACCACATCATTTCGGTCCGCCGCAAATGTCCCTTCATACCGGGACGACGATTTTTTTATTAGGGACTTCGTTTCACGCTTTACGCCGCTCTCCCGAGCTCTCGTGAAGTATCACGGCGCAATGACCGAGAGAGATCCTGCGAGAGGTCCTCTCATTAATCTCTTGTCGCCAGCGAAGAGTAGAAGGCGTTGACGAATCTCGGTCGGGCGCAAAGTGTACATTCTCGTTACCTCGTTCTCGGCCGTGTCTTCGTGGATGATGATCAGGAACCGAGAGGAAGCCCATCTCATCCTCCTCCTCTTCTTCCTTACGTCTATCCATGCTGCCAGAGTGGGCGAGAATTACAGGCATTGTGTGCGCTGGCCGTTGCGGTAATGCGGTTCGCTGATTTATCGCGGAGGTGAGCCACGAGGAGGTGTAGCTAATTGTTCTTGCATGCAGATCCTCGCCGAGGCGCGCCCCGGCTCGTTTCCTCGTCGCGACGCTTCGAAATTAATTGTCCGCCACGGTTCTTTTCCCCCTTTAGCCCCTTCGCCACCCTCCCCTCGCCCTCTCCCGCTTTCACGCGCTATCTTACCAGCTCTTTTTTGTATTTTTCCCGGGTCCCTTATCATCCCGTGCCCTCCCTCGACTAAACCACGCTGAGTCGCATTCTACGAACGTTGTCGGCCAACCTTTCGCGCTGACCTCTGCATCAGCGGTAACGTATTTATTACGGCGCGCTAAAGAGAGAGAGTTACAATATGTAGATACCAATCTCCGGAAAGTTCTCTATGATGAAAAAAAAACAATCCGCGTGTAATCGATCGCAGTGTCGAATAATAATCCCACGCGCGTACATTTGTACGGTACTTTGGCTTTCAAAGATCAATCTACTCCTTTCGCGAGAGCAAAGTTTATTTGCACGCTGTTATTATCAGCTTGTTCCTCAAACATGCTTATTATGATACAAATAACACTAGCTTGTCGCAAAGTATATTTCCATTTTATGAATCTATTGTTTCTTTTGAGATGAGTAATTCCGTACAAAATCGTGATTCTAGAAATGAATTACTTGATAGATAAATTTATCATTGAAGTTTGACAGTTTATCTCTCATACATATTTTCTCGTCTGAAGGTTTTTTACACCGTGCAAAAATAAAATTCCCCACCGCATTTCGTGCTAAATGTGCGCTGTTTACGGGCCGCAGCCACTCGTCACTAGATGAACGTCTGATTTTTCTCCCGAGTGGATACAGTCGACTTGAGCGTTGCGGCGAGTCGAAAATAGTAGCAAACGCGAGTCGGAATCTTGGAACGTAGCCGTCGTCGTCGTCGTCGTCGGCTATCCGACGACCCATAT